GGCAACCATGGTACTGTACAGCCCTATGTCATGCTGGGTCTACCTGTCAATCTATAGGGCAGAGATATACTTGCCCAATTAAATCGTATTATGTGTAGCCCCAATGAGACAGTTACTCATCAAATGTTAAAACAAGGATTTTGACCTGGACAGGGGCTAGGAAAACATTCACAAGGGGTAAAAGAACCTCTCCCAGTGGTTGAAAAATTAGACAGCTTAGGGCTAGGTGCAAAAAATTTACACTAACAGCTGTTGACATCCCTGTACCCCATGCAGACAAAACTACATGGAAATCTGATGAAGCTATGTGGGTTGATCAATGGCCATTAACTTCAGAAAAATTAGCTGCAGCAACAGGGTTAGTACAGGAACAACTTGCTGCCGGCCATATTGAACCCACTACCTCCCCTTGGAACACACCTATTTTTGTCATTAAGAAAAAAAATCTGGCAAGTGGAGATTAAAACTATGCTCACTATGGGGGCCTTACAACCTGGACTGCCCACCCCTGTGGCCATTCCTCCTGGATTTTATAAGATAGTGATAGATCGTAAAGACTGCTTTTTCACCATCCCCCTACATCCAAAAGATAAGGAATGTTTTGTGTTCAGTTTACTGGTGATCAATTTTAAAGGGCCTATGCCACATTTCCAATGGAAAGTCCTGCCTCAGGGCATGGCCAATAGCCCAACCCTATGTCAAAATTTCATGGCCCAGATTGTCGATCCCTTTAGAATACTTTGGCCCTGTATTTACATTATACATTATATGGATGATATTCTTTTAGCTGGGTCCAATGGCCCTCAGCTGCTTCATTGCTGCCAAGAACTTTCACAGAAATTGACAGAAAAATAGTCTCCAGATTGCACCTGACAAAATTCAGTTAACAGATACCTATTTTTATTTGGGTTTTAAATTGTATCACCAAAAGATTGTTACTCAAAAGACTCAGTTAAAAAACGGGTCATTTAAGAACCCTAAATGACTTTCAAAAACTCTTGGGAGACATCAATTGAATTATGCCTTATCTTAAACTTACCATTGGAGAACTTAAACCTCTTTTTGATACCCTCAAGGGAAATCCTGATCCCTCCTGTTGCTCCCTAACTCCTGCAGCAATTGATGCTTTACGTGTTGTTTAATTAGCCATTTAAAATCAGGGGGTTACCTTTGTCTCCTATGAGGAGCCCCTTTTGTTTGTTGTTTGTACCACTTCTCATACACCTACTGGAGTGTTTTGGCAGCATGGCTCTCTCCTCTGGATCTACCTCTCAGCTTCCCATCCTAAAGTACTTGCCCCTTATACCTCCTTGGCTGCTAAACTTATTCTTTTGGGATGCGAACAGAATTGCCAGTTTTTTGGTAAAGATCCTGATAAAATAATTATGCCGTATTCTAAAAATCAACTAGATTGGCTCATGCAAACCACAGATTAGTGGCACATAGTTTGCTCCTCCTTTTTGGGAATAATTGATAATCATTATCCTGCTGATAAATTGCTTCAATTTGCTAAAATTCATCCTTTCATTTTTCCAAAATTTACCTTCCCTCAACCAATACCAAACGCTTGATTGGTGTTTACTGATGGCTCCTCTAATGGAATAGAGGCTTGTGTTATAAACAGGCTACTTCTATTTGTTCCCTCTTTAAATTGGCCCAACTTGTAGAACTTTTTCCAGTAATAAAGGTTTTTCAATTATTGATAGATCACCCCTTTAATTTGTATACTAATAGTGCCCATATTGCTCATTCTGTTCCCATTCTTGAGATGGTCCCTTATGTTAGACCCTCCATGAATCCAGCCCCTCTTTTTCTTCAGCTTCGAAAGTTGATTGCCTCTAGATGCCACTTCTTCTTTATTGGACATCTCTGTGCCCATTCCAATCTTCCTGGCCCCTTTTCTAGAGGAAATGTCTGTGCAAATGCTGCCACCCACTTGACCTTCCCAGTCTTGATAGGTTCTGTAGAACAAGCCCCCAAAAGCCATGCCCTACATCATTTAAATGCCCAGACTCTTTGCCTAGTTTTTAAGATTACTCGTGAACAGGCATGCCAAATTGTTAAGCAATGCCCTGCCTGTGTCACACTTTTGCCCACTCCCCACCTGGGCATTAATTCCAGAAGTTTGGTTCCAAGTGAAATATGGCAAATGGATGTCACATATCTTCCTGAATTTGGCAATCTTAAATATCTTCATGTGACCATAGACACCTTTAGTGGATTTATTTTTGCTACTTTATATACTGGAGAGGCTTCCAAAAAATGTTATAGCCCATGTTTTAAATTGTCTGTTTGTCATGGGTAAGCCTAAAATTATTAAGACTGATAATGGTACTGGCTACACCTGGAAAAATTTTCAGGAGTTTTGCCACCAATTACAAATCAGACATATTACTGGCATTCCCTGTAATCCCCAGGGACAAGGCACTGTTGAACATGCCCACCAGACTATCAAAATACTCATAAGTTAAAGAAGGGGAGTTGTACCCCCAGAAGGGGTCCCCTAAAAATATTCCCCATCATACCTTGTTTGTTCTCAATTTTCTAAATCTGGATGCTCATGGCAAATCTGCTGCTGATTGCCCCTGGCACTCTGAGACTAATAAAAATTATGCCACAGTTATGTGGAAGGGCCCTCTTACCTTTAAATGGAATGGCCCGGACCCAGTACTCATATGGGGCCAAGGATCGATATGTCTGTTTGATACCAAAGAAGGCGAGGCTAGATGGCTGCCAGAAAGATTAGTAAAACAAATAGATGCTCCTTCAAAGACAGATTTCCCTACCGAGACCCCTGATGATAATTGGCAATCCAGGGAAAAGTCTCCCTGAGATCTTTTCCTTTTCTCTTACAGAAACACCAAAAGAGAATGAAGGCACTGATTCTCCTCGAATTGCTATTGATGATGATAAAGGATGAAGGAGGCTTTGACCAGCCGATTGATAGACATCAACTTCTGGTTGCACTGTATAGTAACTCCTGTGACTGCAGAGGAGGCAGTAGGCTTTCTCCCCCAAGCAACACCCAGTCCATTGACTGTAGAGATAATACTGCCTTTTGGCATTCCACAGATCCCAAACAGAAGGGGTATACCAAAGTGGGTCTGTGTGCCCAAACCAAAACCCCTGCCCATTTCACCAGATGGTCATTGTCTCAGGAACTGCTCCTTTATAGATCAGATGGACACCAGCTGTTATACCACATTCACCGAGTGCACTAAAAATGGCATACCCTATTTCACTGCCAGACCCCATAAATCACAGCTAAACACCTTTGGTGGACGTTGGTCCTCCAGCACTCAGGTACTTGGCCCAAGTCCAAAGTATGCGTAAGCCTCTTATCTTGTGCTGCTGGGTATACCAGCTTGTTGGCTACAATCTTGTTACCAAAATCAAGAGGCATTGATATAGACCTCCAAACCACTGAAATCCTTGCTGCCACACATGCTGCCCTAAACTCTACTAATCCCTCCCTAGCCAGCGATTGCTGGTTGTGGCTCGAATTTGGAACCTCCTGGCCCTTGGTGGTCCCCTTATTCAATGATTCCATGATTTCCTATTCACAAGATAATTGCAGTTATTTAAGACCCTTTAAGGTGCTACCAACTGGCTTTAATGTGTCTACATGTTTCTTTAGCCCTTTTAAAAATAATTCCTTTGATACGGATCTTGGCCTGGCAACATTTGCCTCTTGCAGCTATTTTGTTAATATTTCTGATTCTATGTTTGAGCAGAGTAAAGTTTTAGTGTGTGGAAATAATATGGCATATCCTTTTCTCCCTGTGAATTGGACTGGGTCTTGCTTTCCTGCAGTACTCTTACCAGATGTTGAAGTCATTCCTGGGGATCAACCCATCTCTTTGCCCAGTTTTGATACATTTTCTCCCAGACATAAAAGGGCCATTCAATTTATTCCCCTTAATTGGACTTAGAATATCTGGGGCACTTGCCAATGGCTGTGGACACTTACAATAAATTGTCCCAACAATTGATAGATGTCAACATGGTTTATCAGTCTGTCAGAGACCTACAAGATCAGGTAGACTCCATGGCAGTAGTCCTCCAAAACAAATGTGGTCTTGATTTACTATCAACAGATAAAGGAGGTATCTGCTTAGTTTTACAGGAAAAGTGCTGCTTTTACACAAACAAATCTGGAATCATTGGAGACCAGATCCAAAAGCATCAGGAGGAACTGGAAGAGAGGCATCAAGAGCTTTTTAACAACCCCATGTGGAGTGCTTGGAATGGGATCCTGCCTTATCTTCTCCCTTTTCTTGGACCAGTGGATGGTCTGTTAGTATTACTATCATTAGGGCCTTTTCTTTTTAATAGACTCATGGGCTTTATAAAACAACAAATTGACTCCATGGAATCTAAACCTCTACAAGTACATCATCATAGACTTGATCTGGCTGATAGAGGCTTGGCTGAGCCTTACGATTGATATATCTCCTTTAGGAGCTGCATAAAACTCAGATTTATGCTTGCCTGCCTTGCTGTGGGTACCTGTAAGGAGTGTGTGACTAAGTACTGCAGGAGGAGGACCCGAATTGTCCACTTCTGAGTCCCCTGTGAAGCAAACCTGATTGCACAGAGGTTGGTGTTGGTTCCTCTCTTGATCACGTCCTGCTGAAAAGATCTGCAGAGACTGACAAGAGTAAAATACCTCTCCTCCCTGACAGAACTGCACAGACAAGCATGAGATGCTACTGACAGCTTAATCTGAATATCTTATGATTTATGGCAAAACAGCTTATATGCCACCACCACAAATACTAAACATGGTTTTATAAAACTTAAATTTTTTTGTAACAAATATTCCTTAAACACCACAATGTGCCTGCCTCTTTCACTGCAAGATAACTGAGAAGACAGTTGGAACTGAGTGCTAGTACACCCAAAACTTTGGTCTTGGTTAAAAATGCCACTTAAAGCACAAGCATCCTATTGATCAAGCATTTCCATATGATGCAGGAAACCCAGAGTAGCCAGTTAGATACCTGACAAGTTTAAAAGAAATGTTACACATTTCTTTTTTTTATTAATTATTTTCATCATACTACTTTTCATATTTCCCCCTTCTCAACTCCTTCCCAAACCTTTTTACTCCCCAATAATGAGATAGAAATGCCAAAACAAAAGCAAAATGAAACAAAAAGTTCACAAGAGTACCACGGAGTTAATTTCATATTGGCTGACTCCTCCTGGGTCAGGGCATGTCCTGGAGGGTGTTGACACATTCGGTGAGATTCCACTGAACAAACCTGATTTCGTCTGAAGTGCCACACATTTCTTGTCACAGATTATAACTGGAAACGTTACAAAAAAGGTGGCATTGCAACTGCCAACAGACTCATGAAGAAACCAACAAAGAAACAAAGCCAACATCAGAAACATCCCCTCAGCTGTAGGGTTGATACAGGTGGGTGAGCCTTGGCATTGCCTCCATGGGGGTTTCCGTGCTAGAGTACACACCCAGCACTTGTGTGCCCTTTCTCAGGCCTGACTCAGATGTCCTGTCACTCTCTCACTTCCTGGTCCTCTTGCATCATCTTTCTGATGTCCACTGGTCAGCACGTGGTCAGCACATGGTCAGCACATGGTCGGCATACAGACAGCACACGGTCGGCACGTGGTCAGAGCTCTTCCGTGCATTGCCTCACCCTCCTCACAGCCGCACTGCTTGCAGACAGCTGATCGAAGTCCTGGAGGTGGAAACGGGCTGCCAGCTGGTTGACCATTTTCTTCAGGGTCAGAAATGCTGAGATGACTTGGAAAGTAAGGAAGACAGTGAAGATGATATGTATTGCTTTCTCCAAGGGCAGATTCCTTAGGCCTTCATTAAGGAGCAAGAAAAGGATTAAAGGCAACTGTAGTAGAAGGCTCAGTAGCCAAAAGCCGGCCAGCTCAGGAACCTGCAGCGACACATCGAGAGTTATAAGATCAGTAGAATATGGTTTTGTTTTTGTTATACAGTCAGACAGATACTTAGCACTACAGAGAAACTACGTTATAGGCTCTGTGAGCAGTTCAGGAGCATGCCATAGTCCTTGTCCTCAGAGAAATCTACTATCTAGATGACAAAACTGATTCAGTGTAAAGCTACTCACACCGCTGAACGATGAACCACTACATCTAAAGGTCCAGACTGACTACCGCAGAAGTCAAGTGAGAGGGAGGCTTCAAGCTGTACACAGAGGGAGCTCTCCTACCTGGACGCTCCGGCAGGACTAGGAATCAACACAGCAACCTAGCATGGATTTCTTAAGCATAGCTTAAGAAATACCAAGAAAAACAATAAGATGTGCTGGGTGGGGCCTGTTATGAAGGGCCTAGCAAACCACAGGAATTATTTAACCTCTTTAGAAACTGTAAACACTTCGGCAGGATGATGATTCGTTATTATAACTTTATACATGCACAGATCATTAAGAGTTCACTATGTTCAGATACTTCATAGGATCATTGCCCTTTATCTCAATAAACATGTCAAGTCTTATTTTCCTTGTCTGGTATATAGAGGAACTAGAGCTCAAAAGATTAAGCAGTGACTAAAGTCTTCACATTTGAGCTTAGACCCGGGTTGGTAGCACTTCACACCAGCCACTGCATTACTTGTACGGAAACCTTAATCCTCTTTATCGTAGCCCTGAAAGGAAGGGAGGAACCCACCTTCTCCTGCAGGTTACCCATGCAGCCCAGGTACAACCGGATCACTTCAATCAAGGTTATGAGGATGACGACAGTAATCACAATGAATTTGTAGTAATCGGGCAAGACCGGATACTAAAAAGAAAAGGCAAAACATCCTTGTAAAATCTGTGGAGTGACTCGGACCTGGGTGGAAGGGGCTTTGAGAATTCCACTGGGAAGGTAAAGGCGTCAGAAGAGAGCAGTGGGAGTGATGGAGACTCACCTTCAGGTGCAGCATCACGATGCAGCTCACCCACCACAGTGGGAAAAAGTAAGAGTTAAAATAAAGTGACATCTGCAAGGCTAGGCTGGAGACCATTTCATTATCTGCAGGGGCAATGGAAAGGAACACGGTTCTAACCCTGCCGGTGCCCTAGAAGCTGCCATATTCCTGAGCATTAACATTGGTTCAACAAAATCTTAGGCCTATTTATAGTTACTAACAGTATAAAGTACATTTATCTGAATAACTTTTACTTCAAACATTAGCTACTGGAGGCATGTTTCACAAAAGCTCTTCAGTTGTTTGTCTCTACAGTCTGCTGATATTTTTGCAAACAGGTGGTTTGGATTAAATGTGGACCATTACACTGGACATGATCTTTCTTAAATCACAGCATTTGGAAGACAGTGGATCACTGTGAGTTTGGGGCCAGCCTGGGCTACATATTAGGAAAAAGAGAGAGAGAGCGAGAGAAAAGGACTACCATCTGGGATGGTAGTGTACTCTTGTAATCCACACACTCAGAGGTTGAGGCAGGGAAAGAGTGATTTGTGAGGCTCGTCAAAGCTACATATGTGACCTGTTTTTTTAAAAAAAATAATCCAAAACAGGAATGCAAATATGAAATTTTATTCAACAGATGGTTATCACTGTCTCCTTTGTAGGGTTTCTATAATAAGCTGTAAAATGAATGAATAAAAACAAACCTCTTATAGGCTAGTTCTTATATAATAATCTCAAAAAAAATCCCCCTTTCAGCAAATCCTAATCCTACACACTCCTTAATACTCAATCTAGTGCCGTTCCCTATAAGCCCCTCCTTGATTCTGTTGCCCGACTCCAGTAGAAACCTTTCCCCTCTAGGTATCTGCCTCTCTGAACTGTGTATAAGAAGTGTTGGTTAGGGTTGGAGAGATGGTTCAGTGGTCAAGAGTACTTGCTGTTCTTGCAGAAGACTGGGTTCAATTCCCAGCACCTACATAGTGGCTCATGACCACCCTAACTCCAGTTCCAGGAGATCTGGTGCCAGAAACACGTTCATACACACAAAATAAAAAAAAAAAAAAGAATCATATTCTTTTCCTCTAAGATGCAGTGTGATGTTCTGAAGAGACCATGAACTTTAGAAGCTATGATGGTTTGAATGAAAGTAGCTCCGAGGGAGAGTTACGATTAAGAGGTGTGGCCTTATTAGGAGGAAATGTGTCATTTGAGTTGGGCTTTGGGGTTTCAGATGCTCAAGCCAGGTCCACTGTTGCCTGCCAATCTGGATGTAGAAATCTCAGCTACTTTTCCAGCACCATGTCTGCCATGCTTCCTGCCATGAAGATAATGGACTAAACCTCTGAACCTGTAAGCCAGCCCCAATTAAATGTTTTCCTTTATAAGAGTTGCTGTGGTCATAGTGTGTCTTCATAACAATAGAAACCCTAAGTAAGACAGAAGATAAGAGACTCCAGGTGCCAGAGTTGGGATACATTATTACATCTTTCTGGGCATTCACCTAATCATCTCTGGAATGATGACTCTTCACAGGCTGTTGCAAGGGTCTCTACTCTTACCAATGTGCCAGTCACACTTGGTGGGCACTCAACAAACAGCACCCTTTCCTTGTATATGTAGACAACGCTGTCTCAGTGTAAGGACAGATTTTTGCTTACATTTCCTGTTCAGAATTTTGCTTTCTACAGTTAACACCAAGCATGTATAAGCAGAAAGAACACATTTTCAAAAGCATGCTGTCATACACATAGCCATTTATGACAAACATGTTCCATCTACCAGACTAATTACCTACCACCTTTTGCTTCTGTATAAGGGAAAAGGTCCTTCAACAAGAATTTGATTATAAAAATTGAGCCCTAAAAAATACATTATAAATGTAACTACATTCTTATTTTAAATTGGTTGTTCTAAATGTAAGAATTTATAAAGATAATAACAAATTTCTTGAAAGTGTTTCTTCTCTGCATAGTTTTATTTTTTAAAATTGACATTTAATACTTTTAAAACAATCATAGGGGCAGGGAGCTGGAGAGATGGCTCAGTGATTAAAAGCACTGACTGCTCTTCCAGAGGATCTGGGTTCCATCCTCAGCACCCACATGGTGGCTTACAACTGTCTGTAACACAAGCATAAATGCCAATGCACATAAAATAAAAATAAATTAATAAAAAAAATCATGGTCTCTAGAAGCAAACTTAAATTTTAAGGGCAAGGCTGATTATTGTGATCTGCTTTTTCTTGCTTTGATTTCTTAAATGATCCCAAATAAAGGAATGAATTTTTTTTTTTTTTTCCCTGAGGTAGGGTTTCTTTGTGGAGCCTTGGCTGTCTTGGAACTTGCTCTGAAGACTAGGCTGGCCTCTGCCCCTGAATGCTTGGAGTAAAGGCATGCAACAACACCACCTCTGGGCTAGGAATAAATTTTTAAAATTTATTAGCTCTAAAGAAAACCCACTAGGATTTTTTCATTAGTATTATTTTATTTTTGGCAACAGTACAATTCTTGATCCATTGTGGCTGTGATGGCACTATAAATTTCTTACAGCCAGATTCACCAAGAAGAATACAGGAATATAATTGCACACTGGTTATGTTGATACTTTTAGAGTTGAAACCGTAGTCAAATTTTTTGCAAAGAGACTGAGGCAGAAATATTTCAAGTTCAAAACCAGTCTGGACTACATAGCAAATTTCAGGATAGCCCAGGCATTTCTTGATTGCACTGTAGCCAAATAAATTTTGTGTTTGTTTTAAAAGCTATGGGGATATAGCTCATGCAGAGTGGCTGTTCAGAATGCTAGGGTTTTTTATTTATGTAGTGTCATGTCCATACTTCAACAAACCAAATTTATGCAACTGAAATATCAGACCAAAATGAAAAGCAACCACAAGGCACAAGGTGTAAGTTCATTATATTTTACAAAGTTCCAGTTGAGTTCTGTAATGAGATAAAATTAAAGCATTATATAATTGGTCAGACAAATTTTACTGACCAATTAATTGCCTTTCTTGGTAGAGACAGTGAACTTGAACAGCTTTTCTCATGTTTGGGAAAACAATATTCTGTGACACATGAGAACCATATGAAATTCCAGTGTCGATGTCTTTACATAGTTTTATTGCTGTCCACACCATGGCTACTATCTAGGCTGCTGAGGCTCTTGTAGCCTAGAGAACTACAGAAGAAATATCACTCCATTTTTTTTTTCAGTCACTCTCCAGAGACTTTGTATTATTCTATTTTAGTGCATGGTTATGCTCACACTTCGGATCATAAACATGAAATCTTAATTTTTCAGGTTTTTCTCCACATGGCCTAAATTACACAAATGACCAAGATGACAAAACGCAATGGCTGGAGGTGGCTTTGCTTTTCAATGCCCGCTTTAAGAAATAAAAATAAAAGCCCAAACCAAGCCGGAGAAAGGATTTCCACTTCCTTGAGTTCAAAGGTGAAAACCATTTTATGCTGTCGTCCTGACTGAGGAGGCAGAAACTGGGGTCAAGTCGGTGATATTTCGTTATTACATTGAGGGAGAGCTTTTCATACAGGGAGAAAGAAGGAACAGGCAGTCACTTTGGCAGCTGCCAGTTTAGTAGCCAGTGGTTTAAAAAGACTCATTCAATCAGGGACACACACACACTCACTGTTTTATACCCTCGGGAGGGCTGGCACACACACGCACACACACACACACACCCACATCCCACACACACACAGACACAGTGTTTTATACCCTCAGGAGGGCTGGCTGGAGAGGAACAAGCTTGCTTTGCTAGCAGGGGTTTGGACACAGCTCGGTTTTGTGCGGGGTGGGAGTCGGGAAGGCTCTTCCCCACCCTGGCCGGCGAGCGGGCTGTCACGCAGGGACGCAGCGGGGACCAACATGGGGAAGAAGGCGTTCCTGCTCCGCATCCCAATCCGCTCGGCGAGCGCATCACCCGGTGTAGTAGCTGCGCAGCTGAAGCTCGTGGTCTCCCGGGTCCGCCGCAGGGCCGCGATCCCCTTCCCGGGGACAGTGCCCTGACTGAAGCCGGAGCCGCCATCTTTCACCCGGGCACGGCCCGTGTGGCCGCCCGCCCGCGAGCCACACCCTCGCGTGGGCCTGCGCCCGCGCCACTCACCCGCCGCCTCATTGGACTCTGGCCCGGTGCGGCTGGAGTCGCCGAACATAGTGAGGCTGAGGTTGCTGAGGCGCTGACGAACAGGGTCCGGCAGCTCCATGTCTGGCCTGCGCCCGCCTGGGCCTCTCACACACCGGCTGGTCGGCGGGCGCAGCGGCGCGCGGCGGCGGTTCCCTTGGCAACCGGGCTGTGCGGGCCGCTAGGGACCTGGAGCCTGGGCTGCCCCGCTCGCGGAACGGAATCCTCTGGAGCGCGCGGAACGGACTCCTCCAGAGGCTTCCCCTTGGAGAAGCGAGCAGCGGCCACTGGGTCCTCAGCTGGACGTGGCCTAGTGCTGCTGAAAATGGCGGGTTCCTCGGTCTTGCTTTAAAGCCGGGCTGTCTTAAGATGATCACTACTAATAAGCCATTCGGACCTGGACTGAGCCCCAAGGAGCTCCCACACCATGGCAATTCCTCTGTAAAATTGGTAAAGGAGGCCCTTGACCCAGTAGTTTCTTTTCTATGGGTACATAAAATCTGGAGTAAGGCTAGGTTAGGTACCTGCTTCAGAAGACAGGGACATAAAGTATTGAGAGCAGTTGTTTCTGGTGATTTAAAAACTAAAAAAAATTAGCCTTTCCTTGATTTCTCTTAAGACATGTCATCTTAGCACTCAGAAGGCAGAGATAGGAGACCTCCAGTTTGTTTGAGGTTAGCTACATTGCAAAACCCTCAAAAACCAAAACAAACCATTACGTGTAATAGACATATAAAGAAAAGCACAATCAGATATATTAGGACCCAGGTCAGTATCTCCAGGAGCTACCCTTTCTCAGTTGCTTATGAAATAGTGGCCTATTTTATACATTATTGTAAGCTAATTGCACATTAAAGTTTAAAAAGAAAATCTGACTTTGCTGCCAACATCTTTATGAATCTTCTTTCTTTTTATGATCACACCAAGTTTGTCTATGTTGATAAGTTCTTGTGTAATTTCTACTTAGCAGTTATGACAGGTGCTGTTCTTGGTGAAAATGCTTGTTGGTAAACATGTTTATGTTGAGTGTAACATGCATGTTTATGTTGAATATAACATACACGTTTGTGTCGAGTATAACATACATGTTTATGTTGAGTGTGTACCAGGGAAGTGCTGAGTCAAGTGGTATGTAAGACCACTTTAATTGGGTTCTGCCACACTTTCCCAAAGAGGCT